GAAGGGACCTAGAAATCTGCTTTTTATGTTACAAGCATCCTGGATCATGCACGTAAGCTACGGAGCACATTTGAAAACTGATTCATAATTTTGACTTGACTCTAGTCTTGGGGCACGCTTTATTTAGAGCAGAAAGATGAACAGCCAACAATTAGTACCTTCCTAAGCTAGCGATAATTGTGGTCCACTGAGAGAAGATCTTCTTTCACTAGTCACTATTTTGTCCTCTTCCCTCTTCATTGGCAAAATCCAGCTGGCCTGCCATGATATTCCCAAACTGTGCTGGCTTCTGGATGGAGAGTCATCAGTTACTAAACCCCATATTCTGGTCCTCCACCCAGGACCAAACTCTACCCGAATGCCTGCTTGGATTTTGCCAGGGATTCCCTACCTTTCTCAAATGGGTTTGTTGCATGATCACCCAGTACAGAACCCCACTTCATGACACACAGTCCCAAGTGAAAAAGTGCTGACTAACCTTATCCAGAATGAGCCAAGAGTAATAGGTTGGTTAACCAAAAAAAAAAAAAGATCATTTCTGTTTGTATCTGTGGTAGAATGGCCGGTCATGCCTGCTTGTTTAACAGAGACACCATTAGATGTTGAAAAACAACTTCAAAAATTGAATTTTGTTTAAAATAGCCTATCAACAAGAATGACCCAAAACCAATGCAAATTGAAGTGTGAGCATTCTTAATTGCACTTTAGGCTAATACAGTGAGTTGGGATGGGAACAATTTTATCCCAAAAGAGCCCTCTATGAAACCCTTGTAGCTCATGCTGGATTAATGTATACCAATAAAGTGAAGCCTCTCCTTGCAAGCCCCTTCCAAAAGGGACTGTGGTGGCCAAAGAGAACAGACAGGTTGTATCTACCTCCTGCTTGGTATTGGGGCTGGTACAGAGAAGACTAAGCTTGAATCTGTGAGATCAGTTAACCAGTCACCTTTAGTAAGTCAGTTATGTAAGATAGTTTATGTACTAAAGTGAGAGGCAAGGCAGACTTCAACCAGAGATGTGTTTATGCAGTACCTGCTTAAAGATTATGGGTTGAAATTAGAGTGGCTGCAAAGAACTGGTACCTTCCCAGGTTGTCCCTCTACCTTGTGGGAGCTGAGCTGTTGTGTTTGAATACAAGAAAAAGCTTCAGGTAAGAGACAAATTTTAAAGATTTTCTTGTCTTGGTTCATTTATCCAACAATTTTTAAAATACGTTCCATGTGCTAGTGTTACAGGCCCCAAGGCCTGCGGCAAAGCTCAGACGGGTTGGGGGGGCCTCTTCACCCTACCCGGAAGATTTCAGACACGTCACTCAGAGTAACAAGCATGAGTTTATTAGAAGAGACAGGGAAAGGAAAAAGGGAACACTCTTGAGGGAGAGAGAGAGGGTCCTCTCAAGAGAGGAGAAGGGCAGGGCATGGTCACACACACCTACAATCCCAGCCACTCAGGAGGCTGAGGCAGCAGGATGGCAAGTTCAATGCCAGTGTGTGTAACTTTGTGTGACCCTAAGCAACTTCGTGAGACTGTGTCTCAAAATAAAAAATGAAAAAGTGGCTCAGTGGCAGAGTACCTCTGGGTTCAATTCTCAGTACAAAAAGAGAGAAGAGAAGGACAGTGTGCCCTTGTTGCCCTCCAGCTTTATCGCGGGTAGAGGTCCCAGGAAAGTTTCCAGAGAGTCCTGCCCAGGTCCATCTACTCGCTGACCTTTGACTGACAACATAGGAACTGCACAGACCCACCTCCAAAAGAGGATGGTGTGGAATAGGAGTTTCTAAGGGAATGGAGTCCCTCTCTTTTTGCCTCAGTTGCCCGTCCCCTGAATCAGTTATTGCACTGTGATTATCCTCCAGCAAGCTCTCTTATGAGGATCTTGATGTTTTGGTTCCCAGGATGATTAGGGGTGGGGACAGTGACAAGGGAGGGTACAGACCACCTGGTCAGGTGTGCCATCGTCTTGAATCAGTAGCTTTCCTGAAGGGGGTGTACTTACGGCTAGGGGAGCTTTTGACGTTCCTGGCCTGGACTTCCAGTGCTGGCCTGTCCGATGAGGCTCCCTGTGGCTTCCAGTCCCTTCGTCCTCCTTTCTGCACTCACCCAGCCTGGCTGACTAGCTACCTAACACCAGGAATACACAGCTCTGGCCTCACCCTGGGGCTTGCCATCTTGCACAGAACTTCTTTTGGACAGAGATCTACTAGGGACTTTTATGATTCTCTCCCTTGCCTGAATCAGATAAAAAGTCACTGTGAAGTTTGTTCTGGAAGGCAGCAGAACTAGTCAGAAGTGCCCCTGGGGAAGCCCAAACAGCAGCTCACCTTCCAGTGGATAGATGAGCTTGCTGTTAAGCTAAAGATGCACGTCAGCAGGAGGAAAGCTCCCCATATGCCCCATCGCCCCACTTCGGGAACACCTCAAAAGCTTTGCTTGAGCCACAAATATACCACTTTATGGTAATTTTGAAATGAAGATTTATGTTTTTTAGAGTTAAGTTCTTTTAAGAAAAAAAGTTATAAGTGAATAATTAGTGATAATATTCATTAATATCACAAATGATATCATTAATATTATGGAGGATACTAACCATAAAGTAAGCTCTAGATGATGATTTCCAACATATTTTAATGCACGTGTGTCAATTTCACTGAAATACTTGCAGAATTGAAACCTTGGGACTAAATGGGTTAAACACAAATACTCTATAGCAGACACAATTGCCATGTATGCTATAGATTCATGTAAGAGTTCTGGGTCTTCCCTTTCTTGTTTCCATGATATAAGATGTTGAAGACTGCCGGGTATGGTGGCATGCACCTGTTATCCCATTGGCTCAGGAGGCTGAGGCAGGAGGATCTCGAGTTCAAAGCCAGCCTCAGCACTTACAGATGCCCTAAGCAACTCAGAGAGACCCTGTCTCTAAATAAAATACAAGAAAAAGGGCTGGGGATGTGGCTCAATGGTTAAGCACCCCTGAGTTTAATTTCCAGTACCAAAAAGAATAAAAAAAGATGTTGAAGATAATTAGGTATTTCCAGTATTATTATAAGCTAATAGAACAACCAGAAGTTCAGTCACCTGGATGGCTTGCTAAACCAAAGATTGTTCAGCTCTTTAATCAGAGTTTCTGACTGAGTCTGGGAAAGAGGCCTGAGGATTTGCATGTCTAACAAATGCCCAGGGGCTGCTGATGCTGTGGGACCACATTTTGAGAATCACTGGCTTGAGCAAACTTGAAAGTGTGACTCCACAAGGAACTAGCAATAGCATCACTGTTTAAAAATCTACACACCTGCTACAAGTTTATAATATAACCTAAGTGAATTTAAAGCCATCCACTCAAAAATACCTTGAGTAAAATTGTATTCTTATAAAGTCTCACTATGTATTCTTTTAAACTCTCTTATATGTATAGGTATGCTTGTGTATACATATCAACATTATAATATGTCTTTTCTCAAATATATGTAATATTCTATGTGTAAAACATTGTAATCATCTTATATGACTGCATTCTCTCTCTCTCTCTCCCTCTCTCTCTCTCTCTCTCTCTCTCTCTCTCTCTCTGATTGAACCCAGAGCAACTTAACCACTGAGCCACATCCCCAGCCCTTTTTAAAAAATTTTTGCTAAGTTGCTGAGGCTGGCTTTGAAGTTTTGGTCCTCCTGCCTCAGCCTCATGAGTTGTGGGGATCACAGGTGTGCACCCCACACACGGTTCCTTTTCTCTTCATAATGCTTTATAAACCTCTTTCCTAACTGGTGTAGTTCTACAGCATAATTTAGTACATCCTTTTGAATGAATGGATCTTAATTTGTTTAAATGTTTCCCTTTGCTGTTCATTGAGGTTGTCATATCAACCTGTTCAAACAAACAAGTTCATCATAAATAGCCTGTTAAATTTTTATGTACATGCTTAATGATTGTCTAAAGACAGATTCCCAGAAGAAAAACTTCCAGGTCAAAAGTCATATGGATTTGTAAGGCTTTTAAAACATAAGGCCAAATCCCAAAGAACCAAAAGCCAAATGTTTTCTCTGATATGTGGATGCTAATTCACTATGGGGAGCAGGGGAAGATCTAGAGGTATTTTGGACTAGACAGAGAAGAGTGAAGGGAGGGGAGGGGGAAGGAGGTATGAATGATAGAAGAATGAATCGGACATTATTACCCTATGTGCATATATGATTACATGACCTGTGTAACTACATCATGTACAACCAGATGAATGAGAAGTTATATTCCATTTATGTATGATATGTCAATGTGCATTCTATTGTTATGTATAACTAATTAGAACAAATGGGAAAAATATTTAAAAAGAGGGAAGGTCAGAGCACACTACAGAGAAACATTAGATCATTTTACATACCCAATGGCAATATTGTTATTTTCTCACACCTTCCTGTAGAACTGAGCAATATTTTTGTTTGTTTGTTCATATTGGGGTTGCCAATTATATAGGGAGAAAATGCTATTTTGTTGATATTTTGAATGTTTTTTAGCTGCCAATGGAGCATCCGAGGATACTGTATTTATGCCCTGCGTAGCTGTGTGAATCTGGAGCTTAGAATCAGACTATCAACTCTTGACAGAGCAATTCTTTTGTTTGAGGCTTTGTATGTTTGACATTTCATAAGGTTTAGCATGTTGTTTTTATTTGCCACCAACAAATATAAAAAAAAATCTCTAAGCTCTTGTTGTACTATATGAACTTCAAGAAAGTAAATTTATGCTATGGAAATCATGTATTTTGTATTTGTCTGCTGTGATATACAAGCTCATTTCTTGGTATGTTGAATAATCTGTTACTATAATTGTATTAAAATTAATCTAATTTTACTTCTGACATCAAATGTCTGCTGTGGTGAAAAGAGAAAACTAATGAAGCAAAGTACCTTGCTTTCTACCTTCCTATTTACTGAGTGACCACAGGCCTTGACTACTAAAATGACTACTTTCTTGGTGATACACTAAACTGAACTTTCTTGTTGATACACAGGGACTATTAGGTGAAAAGTATGGGAACATCCGAATCCCCGGAGAAGTGGAAGCCTCAGAATTTGAAATGATTTTGGATGCTGCCATAGAGGCAAAGATGGAGACTAAGCTACTGGAAGAGTGGTACTGTCGAGATGAGAACTCTGTGCCAGCAGCTTATTACCTCAGACCCAAATCAGAAATGCTGAGAAGCAATAAGAATGCAGTAAGTCACCCTTCTCTCCATTACCAAAAACTGTTCATATCACACCAGGGTGGCTTTCTCTGCTGAAAACCACAACAGGTGGGAAGTCACTCTACCCTGGACCATAAATTTAACAGCTGAATCCACACTAACCATCAGGGAAATGCAGGTCAAAACCTCAAGAAGCTGTCGCCTTGCACCTGTTAGAATGGTGATTATCTACAGGAGATAAGTATTTGTGAGGATGTGGAAAAAAGGAAGCCTGGTACACAGTTGGGGGGATTGTAAATTGAAATAGCCACTATGGAAAACACTAGAACAGTTCATGCTCTTATGATCCAGCCATTCCACTTCTGGGTACATATACCCAGATAAATGAAACCATTATCTTGAAGAGACATCTGCAGCATTACTCACACTGGCCAAGATATAGAAACAACCTAAGTGTCCATAAGCAGGTGAATGGATGTGTTAGCTTTCTGTTGTTGTGACAAAAATACCCAGTAAAATCAACTTAAAGGAGAAAAAAATCCATTTCAGCTCACAGTTTAAGGGATTTCATTAGCTGCATTGCTTTGGGGCTATGGTGAGGCAAAACATCATGGTGGGGAGCATATGGTGGTGAAAAAGCTGCTCAGCTGTAGGTGGCTGGGAAGCAAAAAGAGAGGAAGGACCATGATTCCAGAGGCTTACCCCAGTGACCTCACTTCCTTCCATAGGCTCCACCTCTTAAGAGTGCTACCACCTCTAGGTAGGCTGGTGACCAAGCCTTTAACACACAGTTAGCCTTTGGGGAGACATTCAAGGTCTATACCATAACAATGGGTACATCAATGATACACACACACACACACACACAGGAATGTTATTCAACCTTTAAAAAAAAGGAAAAAAATCCTGCCATTCACAACACAGATAAACATGGAGGACATTTTGCTAAGCAAAATGAGCCAGGCACAAAAGACCAACACTGTATAACCTCATTTATATATGGAATCTAAAGAAAGACCAACACTGTATAACCTCATTTATATATGGAATCTAAAGAAATGCAACTCAGGATAACAGAATAAAAAGGGACTAGAGTATGGGAAAATGGGAAGAGTTGGTCAAAGTGTACAGGCTTTCAGTTAGAAGATGACTGATTTCTAGAAACCTCTTGTTCAGCACAGTGTAGTTAATAATAATGTATTCTCTGCTTGAAGTTTGCCGAAAGTAGATCTCAAGAGTTCTCATGATGAAAGAACTGGTAACCATAGGAGATGGTGGAGATATGATAGCTCTAGAGTGATAATCATTTCACCAGGTATACCTACATCACACTACTACATTTAAACCCCTTAAAATATAATCTTGAAAAAAAAAAAAAACTAAATCCAAATCTAAGAAAGTTTCAAATTTTGTCTCACCTTTGCTTTTAGCATCTCTTTCCTTCTGGGGCTATTTCCTTTTTCCAAAAGTATATCTTTTAAAAATTTTGTTAATGCATTTGGAATTCCTTTAGCAATAAACTCTCTCATGTTTGTTTATCTGAAAGCACTCTTATTTGACTCAATTTAAAACCTGTGTCTATTTATTTATTCTTCTCTATTTGCCATGCTTATAGCTGTGAATTCATATGTCCTATCAGCTCTCAAACATTTTTAACCATCATCTCATCAAACATTGTCTCTCCTCCGTTCCTTCTCTTCTATACTTTAATTAGTTGTACTCTAGATCATCTCAATTCATCCTTCCGGGCTCTTAATTCCCTTTCACATTATCAGTTTTTTTTTTCTCTCTTGCTTTCCAGATTAGTTCTGATTTTTTTTCCACTTCAGCAACTTTCTTCAGCTGTGTCCACTTTGTGCACACATTGAGTTTTCAAGTTCAACAGTTATGTTATTTTGTAAGAGGTGTGTGTGTGTGTGTGTGTGTGTGTGTGTGTGTGTGTGTTGGCTTTATTTTTATTTTTGTTTTGTTTTGTGGAAGGAGGTGGGTCCTTTAAAAATCTGCCATCATTTATGGTCTCATTTTTTAACTTTTAATTTGATTCTTTTTCTTTAACAATTTGAACAATCAATTTATATTCTTGTATCATATACAGAAACATGGGATAAGGTTGATAAGTGCCTGAGTATTATGGATACATTATTTTTGTCTCCTTTCCAACTTGATTGGAAACAAGACATCAGTCACCTAAAGCTGAATGAAGGAGAAAGAGGGGGAAAATGGGCCTATCCACTGCATAGAATGTTTATAGATACTGAAAAGATGCCATAGAGAGCCGTCCTTCTCCTGAAGACAGCAGCCTTGATACAGTCAGCACCCAAGCAGCTCCAAGAGGAGGAGAACCAGGGATCAGCTGCTGGTCTTCATTTTAGGACCTTGTATATTTGTCCTTGAGAATTTAACACAAAACATTTCCTCTGTGCAATGTGTAATCATATCAGAATGCTTGATCTTTCTTTTCCCCCAAAACATGCATTCTTCAAAGTGATCTATAAGAATATTGCCTCTCTGGATGGGACTATTAGGGTGAAGCAAATCATTCAGAATGCACTAGGAATAAATGTAGATAGCAAAGAATGTGAAACCTCAAGAAGCTGTTTACATGGTGGTTTGGGCCATTTGCTCATTGTTACTATTTAATTAGCTTCATTCCATCTTCAGTTATTTCTGCAATACTCTAGGAAAATGTAAATTATTCCCAAAACCTGATGTGTTATTTCTGTAATAAATGGAGGTATGAATAAAATTATCCTCAAAACTATATAAACATTTCCTGATAGGCAATCCTCCCATTTTATTTCCTAGCAGATCATCCAAACCAATGAGATGGAAACAGTAAAAGGAAATTAAATAATAACCTCCCCTTTAACTGTCTCCCTTTTGGAGGACATTAAAATGATGATTTTGTTATGATATTTATATCAAAACTCAAGAGGGAAAACATGATAAAATAAGAAAACCTATCTGAGACCATTTTCTTTTTATATATCCATTAAAAAATTATCTGAGTCTGGATACTGTGTAAAGAAAGGAAGTTTGTTTAGCTCAGTTTAGGAGACTGACAGTCCAAGATTGAGCAACCCCCTAATCCCATGTTTCCAGCCTCTGGTGAGGGATCTCTTGGTTACATCACCTTGATGGGGACTCACACCAGAAGAGAGCACACAGTAAGACAGGAAGACCCAGAGGCCAGGCTTGCTCTTTTTACAACAACCTGCTTTTTCCTGGGAGCTAACTGGGGCCCCGTGAGAACTGCATTAATCCCTTCCAAGGATAGCAACCCCTCTCCCCACCCCCCGCAGTGAAATAACCATTTTCTACTAGTCTCCGCCTCTTAAAGATTTCTCCCCCTTACAACACTGGGGACCAAGCTCCTAGCACTTGAAACTTTACACATAAAAATCACATCTAAGTAACAGCAAAGTCCAACCAAAAAACTGTCTGAGCTACACCTTTATGTAATTTGGAAAAGTTCACATGAAACACGGAGATAATTTCTAACATTCAAGGCCACAGAGAAAGGATGAAATAAGATACTGTCTATAGAAGGCCTACTGTAGTTTCAACACATCATCAACCTCCATGTAATAGGAACTCTCTTGTGCTTAAACACTACTTTTTCTTTGATGATTTTAAAACTGGCTTCTTACTTCTAACTTTCATAGATGCAGCCTCCTGCTAATGCTGAAAATGAGAAGCCGTGGCAAGAGATATCCGATGAGATCAAGACGATATTTAAAGCTGCTGTCAAACTGTTACATGAAAAGGGTAAAATGAAACACAGCCAAGCTAAGAGGTACCTGTTCTCAGGTAATTTTCACACATTCCCAGTAAACTAAGGCCTAGATAAATAAGAGGTGCGGTTGCTGCTTCCCTTTATGGTTCTGTAAATCTCATCTCATTTACTGCCTAGCAAATTGAATTATTCTAAACATTTCCATGTCCTGGAGAGGCAAGTGTTCTTTTGGTTCAACCCACAGAAAAGCCTTTACTTAATTTGAGGGCTTCTCCAAGAAATGTGATTTTTAAAGAGGTCAGAGGTGGCTGGAGATAAAAGGCCAAATTCTGCCATGGCTTCTCAGTTGAGCTGTTCATTCATTCACTCATCCAGCTGCCCGGCAAATTTCTATGGGCCTATTGGCCTACTTTGTGCCAAGCAATGGGGAGACAACAGTGAATAGGAAGGCAAGTTCTTCATTCTCCTCAAACTTATTTTTCAGCAAGGGAAAATAAATGATAGTTCAGTAATCAAATAAATGAACAAGATCATTTCAGAAATGATAAGTCGTATCGATAAAATAAAGCACGGTAATAGGATAACTGTGGCTGCTGGATAATGATGGGGTCTGCATGTGGATAGGGTGAGCAATATAGAGATGATCTTTGAGCTGAATGAAGGAGGACTCAGCCAGCAGTGCCATGTCTACTAAGGCAGAGAATGCCAGGCAGAGGCACCTAGAAGTTCAAATCACTGAGATGGGGATGTGCTTCAGAAATTCCAGGGAGAAGATCAAGGTAGTCAGGTTCAGAGAGGGAGAGATGAAGTCTGAAAGTCATCTCAGGTCCTCAGAACCTTGAGTTTTATTCTGGGTGAAATGGGAAGCCAGGGGAGAGTGTGAAACAAGTTCTAATTTCATATTAAAATAAAAATCTCCCCAGCCAATGAGTAAAGACCCCACCTGTCATCTTTTCTCAGCCATGGAAAGGAAGCTTCATTATTAAAAGCTGCACAGGAGAACACAAATCTGAAGGAATATGTCAGTCATTGTTTCCAGAGAACAAACACTCCTGGGTACAAGTAATCAGATATATATAGTATAGCATTTATTTTGAAAGCTGATAGTAAGGAATTATTGAGAGAAAAGCAATAATAGATGCATTTTCAAAAGGGCTTTTTAAATGGTGTAGCAAAATATTTGTAAAAATCTAAAAGTCTCTCGACCCATGCTCACTGGATATGTGTGCTTCACATCATTTTGAAATTTATGAATTATTTTGACAAATTCCAGAAAAATGCTAACAAAAAATTGGCCTGGTTTAAAAAAAAATACTAAAATTGCTAGGAATAAGTACTATCTTTAGAATATGCAGGTTAACATTTATCCTTGTTCCTTTGGGACTTTTTGATCCATTTTTTGAATCTCTGGCTCTTCACCTTTATCAAGGACAAAACGGCCCTGTTCTTGAAAATGTGCTGTATCAGAAAAGATGCCCAGCAAAACTTTTATTTGTTTATATAAAATACACCAGTTTGAGGGAGGCATACTCTAATTCACAATCATATGGTTCACGTGTTTATAATTGGCAAAAACCTTCTCCTCGTTTTCTCCATTCTGAAGAACTCTGTCCACATGGATAAGTTGTTTCATGTGAACTACTGTAAGGGGATTATTTTCTTCTTGGAGTTACATTTGCTAAAGGTAGACACAGTCATGATAATTTTTTTTTTCTTTTACATTTTAAACTCATTTTGAGATGATGCCAAACTTCAATCATAATCAAAATTACTGGAGAATTTCCAGCTATTTCAAATGGATCTAGTACATTCCTTTAATATTTTTATAAATCTTGAAAATAAGAATACAGAATAAAACCTATAAAAGTATATTATTTATGTTTGATGATGATTTTTCACATTTCTGATTTCACCTATTTAGACAAGAAAAGGTGAAAAGTAAATAAGACCCCAAAGTTTTGCCCTTTTGTAAATGTCTAAACTGAGTGGCTTCGGAAATAGTAAAGAGAATAATGTCTCATGAATGACAGTTGCCAGGGCTGGGAATCTGTTCCCAATGTTACCTTCATTGATTAGTGTGACTTATTATAATTATAGTATACTAAGGACAGTGCAAAGACAGAAAACAAATATAGTATTTTCTACTAAGGAGAGGGAAAGTTTTAAAATATTTGTACAGAAATGTATTGCATTATTTGGCTTTCTTTTTACTGTAACAAATACCCAAGATAATCAACTTAATAAAATAAAAGGTTTATTTTAGCTTACAGTTCAGGAGCTTACAGTCCATGATCAACTGTCCCACCACCACCACCTCCACTGCTTTTGAGCCTGTGGTGAGGCAGCACATCATGGTGGCAGTGTGTGGCAAAACCATTCATCTCATGGCAGGCAATGAAAAGAGAATGAGGAAGAGACCAAGGTCCCACAATCCCCAAAGACCTAAGATCTCCCACTAGGCCTCAGCTGTTAAAGGTTTCACCATCTCCCAGTAGCACTATTCTGGGGAACAAGGATTTAACACATGAGCATTTGGGAGATGTTCCAGCTCCATACTATGCAGGAATTATGAATAAAATTCTCCCTAAATCAGAATGATGCACTTTGCCTCCAAAAATAACTCTGTACAGAGTTGATTGTGCATCATGTCACTCATTTATATTCAGAAAGTCCTTTCCATTCCAAGCGCTCTATGTGCAGCCTCTTTTTTACCCCAAGCCAAGCTTGGATGAGCCCTTCCATCTTGGTTGATTTGCATCTCTTTTTATGAAGCTCCAGATCTCCTGATTGACACACTCTTTTCATAGATGTGATAATATTAGTTGAATTATAGCTAAATTGTTTCTGGGAGTCAGGGTGGCAGCACACTCTGGTTACTAAGTTACTAAGCATCATATATAGATGCCACAGTTGGACCACTTCCTTTCTCTTCTTATCTCAGAATGCAGCAACCTGCTAATCCAGTCTGCTCTCCAACACTGTGTGCAGATGGCTGGAAAAGACTGGGCTGAATGCTGCTTTCTATAGTAGCCCATGATGTTTTACCTTGTTTTCCTTATAACAAGTTCTTACTCTTTCATAAAAAGAAGAGTAGACTTATGTAATCTCCTTTTACTTCCTTAAGTAGCTTGCTAATTAAAATGCTTTGTAAAATATACTGATGCTCATGGCACAGCTTACTGAACACAGATGGGGATATCTTCTCACTGGAATCATAAATTATGACTGATTGCTATAGTTATGGAAAGAACATTATCACAGGGGTTTCACTCAAAGTCATCATTTTTTAAAAAATGCACATTCCTTAAAAGTTACTGTATAGAACATATATGTGTATGTGTTCTGGGTTTTGCTTAACACTGAAGCGCACTGAAAGTTTTTTTTTAATTTCTGGACAGATCGATGCAGCATATTCAGAGCCCTCCCCACACCACACTCCCATCAGATCCCCCAGTAGTATAGTCTCCTCCATGGAGAAGCCTTCTCTGACCTCTCTGAGTGGGTGAGAACCCTTACTGTTTGCTCTCGTTGCTCAAAGTTCTTCTCTGTCACAGGAAAAACTAAAAACGATCATAATACATTTATTTGTGGGAATCTAGGTTTAGTATCTGCTGTCCTCCACTGAACTCTAACTCCGTTCAGGCTCTTGTAGAAGAATGTCATAAACTGTGCAGCTTATAAACAACAGAATTTTATTCTTACAGTTTGGAGGCTGGAAGTCCATGATAGTTGGTGCATGGTGAGGCCCCACTTTGTGGTTCATAGATGACACCTTCTCACTGCTTCCTTATGGGGCAGAAAGGATTAGGGAGCTTTCTGAGGCCTCCTTTAAAAGGAAATTAATCCCATTCATGAAGGATCCACATCTATCATATTACCACTTACCAAAGGCCCCACCTTCAAATAGCATCTGAGATTTAGGCTACAATATATAAATTTTAAGGAGACACAAACATTTTGTCTATGATAATCCATGTAGTCTTTTAGTATTGTCTATTTTATCTCAGCATTTTATGCTAAGGAAATATCAGCATACTGGCATAGCATACAGACTCAATAAAGTCCAACTGGATGAAGGGGAAAAGGAAAGGAGTAGGAAGGAAGGAACAATTTCAGGCATCCAGTTTTTAAATAATGTAAGCTTTTCATTGCTGTGACAAAATACCTGAGAAAATCAATTTAGAGGAGGAAAGATTTATTTTGGCTCATGGTCTCAGATCACTAGGCTCCATTGACCCTAGGCCTGTGGTGAGGAAGAACATCATGGCAGTAAGGGTGTGGTGGAGAAAAACTGCTCATCTCCTGGAACCAGGAAGCAGAGAGAAAAAAATAAAAAGGAACAGGGGACAAGATATGGTCCCCAAGGACATACCTGAACAACCCACGCTCTTTAACTGGGTCCTCCCACCACATCTCTGTAATTACATCAGATTATGAATCCATCAATGGATTAATCCACTGATAAAGTCAGAACCCTCATGATTCAAATACTTGCCCAAATCCCCAACTCTGAACATTGCTGCATTGGAGACCAAGCCTTCAACACATGAGCCCTTGAGGAACATTCCAAATCTAAGCTATAACATACTGCTTCCTTTCAAATTCACTTCCACTGGTTTTTCTTTTTTTAAAACATTCTTCCCTGAACAATGATGTTTTTATTTCAGTTTTAAATGTCTTTATGAAGGCTTAAATGATTTATAACATGTACTTACTTGTGTGTAAGCATGTGTCTTGTAAGCCATATACTGTTTAATTTAGATGAAATAAAGTTCTATACTAAGTGGGTGCCTTTTCTGATGGTATAATAGAATTTAACAGTGATATGGGTAATTCCAATTGATCTGTCTTCAGACATGATTAGAATTTGTTTTAATGTGCCTCTGAATTTACCTTTGAACATATCTCTCTGGAGTACAATAAACCTTAAAAAAGAAAAAAAAATGGATGGTAAATCCACAGTGTAAAGGACACACCAACTAGCATCAAGTCAACCCATGTGTCTCTCGGCCTCTGCCTCTTTGTTAGCTGGACCACACTGGTCCCTGCTGTTTCTCCAGTCTTAGAACAGCTAATATCTGAGAGGGCAACTAAGCAGTATCAACTATAAATTTGGTGAACTTGCTTTCTTGTGCTGATGTTCAACCTCTTCCTCACATTGTGGAGGAAACTACATAATTTTATTAGAAATTTCCTTGGTTCCAAAATACTCCACTATAAACTATACTAACCACCCCCCACCAGCAACTAATCTTCATATGGGGAATGTGGGCACACTTCTCTCATTCTAGACAATAAACTCCTTCTCTTATTTTCTTCCAGCTATCGAGGATGAGTTTGACTTTGCTCTCGGCAAGCAAACTCCAGCATTCCTAAAGAAGTGTGTTTGCTACATTAGAAAAATTGCTAACATTGAGCGCTTTGTGAAAATCCCAGAGATGGGAAAATACATGGATATAACTGGAGCAGAACCAAGGATTATTCGTGACCCAGAAGCCCAAGAGAAGCTGATAAAACTCAGGGATGAATTTATTCCTACTATTGTCGCATCATCTAATCTGAGAGTATACACATCTGTTACCCATTGTGACATGAAACTGGGCTATTCCCAAGAAATAGAAAATCATTACATAGAAGGACTTGGTAAACAGTTTTATGAGGACATGATTGATATAATTCAGGCCACAGTACAGCAGAATTTTGACACTGAAACTGATACACTCTACGATGAAATCCTTCAGCATTCGTCATTATGTAAAACATATGCCTCCTTCTATGAGTACAAATGTGAAGCTCTAAACATTGTGCATAAATACATTCTTCCAAGCAAAACTGGGCACATCAACCCTCTTATTATATATGGTGGACCATGCACTGGGAAAACCCTCCTGTTAGCTGAAGTAGCAAAGAAGGTAAAAGTCTGCTCTTTCCCATCTGTATTTATTAAAAAAAAAAAAATTCTTTGGGGAAAAAATCTAATGGATCAAATTCATTTCCATACACTGTGCTTACTATCTGAATTATAATTAATCTTTTTGGAATGGATACCTAAGTATTCATTTCTTATCTTTTTTTTTTCTGATGTAACAGGAGAGAGCAAGACTCATGGGGTGCAACCATAAACCTTTTTAATTTTTTTTCAATCATTAATTGAACACGTGTTACAGAGCTAGATCCTCCATCTGAATGAATTCCAGGGCTGATCCCAGAAGTTCCTCTCACCTCACCCCTCCAAGACTAGTTTTCCAGTTGCTTCAGTTCACTAAATCAGTCTCAGCTCAGTGAATTAGTATGTCCAATCCAAGCAGATAATTAAGATTTTAGTCTACATTTCTCTCCTCTGCTGAGGCCTACCATAAACAAGACACCTACAGTAAGAATGGGGACATGGGTGTCTTTTTCTTAGTCTACATAACCCTTCTTTCCTCCTTTTCTAACCCCAACCACCTTCATGACCCCCATGGGTTGTAGTATAGTGGGTATAATAAGAAAGGTAAGGTGACTACAAAGTTCTTACATGACCAGTACAGTTAGGAACTGGGCTTTGAACTCACTGTCCTTGACAGGTGTTTAAAGCTCCCTCCCATCTCTTCAGAAGTCAATTCATGATTTTTTTTGGAGGTTCTTCCTTTTCCTGAAAATCCCACCCTATCCCCACAGAGCAACTCTCACCTGCAGGGCAATGCATCTTCTCTCTAGCTCTCTCCTTCCCAGCTCCTAGACTGCTAGCAACACACTTCCACCATCTTTCTGCTAAGATTTTCTCCATAGCCCTGCAAACTCCTTCAGCAGGACCTGGGAAAACAAAGCAAACAAGCAGAAACCCTCGCCATCTGTCTCTTGCTGGTGGCTCACATTAGGTACGTGGGAAACCCTGAGAATCTCTAGACCTACAGGCCAGGTGCAGTGAAGCAGCTCCATGTGCCTCAGCCCCATCCACGGGAGCAGCGAGCCAGCCTGTCACTCCACCTTCATGTTTTTCAGGTGTCATCAGATACCAGTTGTCTGTGTCCCCCAGGCTTTAGGGATTCATTGAAGCCCTTTCCCCTGGGCTAGAAGTGAAGAGTGAGAATTCCTCTGACCTCCCCTTTGAGGATGGGGAGGGGAGAGGCATGACCCACACACCCTCACCTCCAACTTCTTTCTCAGCCCTTCCAGTGTTTTTTCAGGCTGGAGGTGGAGAGTCCACTGACAGTAGCAAAACTGGTCTTTACAACTTCCCTTCCCAGTCCTGCTGGGGTCTGGGACCTTTGGAATGTGATGGCTGTTGTCTTGCCTCCTCTGCCTAAACTGGGCCAAACTAGCTGCACATTTAATCTGTTCAACATGGTACCCAAGTATCATGGTTTCCATCATTCTGGTGTTAATTCAGAATCTCCTCATTGTCTTCTGTGGTGACTCTCGAGAATAGAGCTTTCTTTCACTTCATGAATATTCTCATAATCAGTCACATGCTACACAATCTTGAATTGGTCATCCTGAGGACAAGAGCAGGGTCAGCTGCATTGCACCCTAGGTGGGAATTAGGTTCCAGTAAGCTCACAGGTGAAACTCAGGTGCATAATACTCGCCCTTGAAAAGTCCTTAGGAAGGCTAACGTACCATTTCTTGGCATGGCAAGCCTAGATGGCTTTTATTCATGTGTTTTAAAATATGGCCCTATCTAAAATATATATATGTATGTATTTTATACACACACACACACACACACACGTGGCCCTATCATTCATTGAGCACAGATGAGGTAATGGACTGGCATTTAGGGAAATGTTACATCAAAATAAATTATGTGTATACCTGTGAGTGCCTTTGAACCCAGGTTTGTACGTTTATAGTCAAGAATTATTATTTAGATTATTCCAACTGAGCAAAATGATGACAGCATGAGAACCGAAATTTGCGTGTGCCACTTCATGTTCACTCTAGGGCTCCTCTTGTGGAGGAGGAAAAGGGAGAGGTGGTAGAAGGAACAAATATTGTGAATTGGACTAAATGGAATGTGGTGTGATATGTCCCCACGGGCTCTAGCACAAGCAGGCAAGGGTTCCATAGGTATGCTGCTGTGACTATACAGATGAGCCAACCTCACAGGACAGTGTGCTAATAGTGCAAAGATGAAAAATGACTTTCCACACTCTGTCTTCTGGATATTTTATCAGTTGCCCACAACTGACTATGAGAATTCAGGCTTCTGTTTCCCCAAGAGACCTTATCCTTCCCTGCATTCCACTTGACACTCTCCTAGGGAATGACTAGCCTGCCATCCACAAGAGCTTGCCTCTCCTGTGACCTTGTGTCCTTCCAAAATGTATACCCAAAGGCCTTATGACCCACCTCACCCTGCCACCCCCTAGCTGCCTACAGGTACCACACAGTTAATGCCTATCAGGGGATTAATTCCTTGATTAGGTTAACCCAGTGCTTTCCTGCATTGTCTCACACAAGAGCTTTTGAGGGACACCTCATATATAAACCATAACAACCACCAATGAACAGTTGTAGGATGGTAAGATTGAACTCCTTGAAGCCAGCTTCAAGGAAGTACACTCCTCGGAGTATTTTTACACTTTGATCATGTCCTTTCCCATCTTTGACTTTCCAGAGAGAAAAATACTAAACATATAATATATGTTTAGTATGATTTTAACTCCCACTCTGTCTTATGGTGACCTTTCAACTCAGAGCAAGTCATTTATCCAGCCTGGGCTTCATTTCCCTCTTCTGTTAAAAGACACTGTATCCCACCTGCCCTTCAGAGAGAGAATGTGAGGACAGACAACTGCAGGCGTGTACACACAACTGTCTGTTACAAAGTGCATCTAACAAAACTCTCTTAACCAACATTATACAGATATTGTGTGACCAAAAAAATATAACAGTGACCCTTTAGCACCATAGAAATGTCTCTGAATTATATAATATTTTATTCAGTATAATCTTAGCACATAATATTTTTATCACATTCTAATTAATTGGAAATTTGGTCATGCACAGATGGCATGATATGCTTTCAATTAATGAAAATATTTAATACAACATGTAAATCCTTAATTCAGTCATTAAATAAACACTAAGTGCCTACTAGATGTCAAGAAATGTGCTGGGAAATGGGGATGTAGTGATGAAAACCTGACCACATGAGATATTCAGATTTACAGATTTATGAAATGCTTTGTAATTTTCAAGCTCAATGTTGCCTTGGAATTAAATAATACCATTAACACTCTTTTACTGTCTGAGGTCTCACCTGTAGAGTTTGATGCATGAGCTCCATGATAGTGCATTGGCCTTCCCATAAAGTCCTTCCACTTTGTGGTTCTAGGCTATATTTTGCAGGGTAGATGTTCCCAGAAGTCTCAGCTCCAGCAAGAGGAAATGTGAGCTATGACCATGTAGATACCTAATACCATTCTGAACTCGACTTCTGTATTTTAGGCTTATGGCTGGCTACATGAAGACACAGGACCAGAATCTGACCCAGTAGTCGTGGTGAGATTTCTAGGAATGACAGACATGAGTACCGACCTCAGGACCCTCCTTCTGAGTGTTTGTGAACAACTGGCGGTTAACTATCGGTGTCTGGTTCAAAGCTACCCTAAGAAGATCCATGACCTCCGGGACTTATTTATAAATCTTCTGAATGAGTCTTCACTGCAGAGACCTCTAGTAATAATATTTGACTCCCTGGAGCAGCTCTCAGAGAACGACGACGCCAGGAAGCTCTGGTGGCTCCCAGCTCACCTTCCACGCTTCGTGCGGATAGTCCTCTCCACACTGCCCAACAAACACGGGATCCTGCAGAAACTTCGGTGCCTTATCCATGACGATGATAACTACATCGAACTGATTCCCCGGGACAGGAAGATGTGCAGCCAGGTCCTCAAACACCAGCTGCTGCGGGTCAAAAGGAAGGTCACATCAGGCCAGCAGATTTATGTAAACAATGCGTTCTCCAAGTGCACGCTGCCCATGTTTGTGAACCTGACCTTCAGAGAGGTGAGACATTGGAGATCCCACAAAGACGTGGATGAATCCTCCCTCTGTGTCACTGTTCATGAAAGCATAGAGCAGTTATTCTGGTCCTTGGAGAAGAAATGTGGCCAGAAACTGGTCTCCAGGGCTCTCGGTTACATCACCATGGCCAAAATGGGTTTGAGCGAAATGGAACTGGAGGACGTGTTAGCCCTGGACAACAGCGTTATGAACGAGCTCAACGAGAACACCAGGCCCAGCAATCCCCTGAGAGTACCTTATCTGTACATCGCAAGGCTCAAGGAGGGTCTCAGTGGATATTTAATAGAAAGACACGTGAAGAACGTCACCCTCCTGGTCTGGGCTAACAGACACCTGCAACTCATAGCCCAGAAACTGTATCTGCAGGATGACAGCAGCCTGCGTGAAATGCACACCATCTTGGCTGACTATTTTCTGGGGGTCTGGTCAGGGGGCAGGAGGAAAGCTTTCTGCCTTGAAGACCCCTATTTGAATGGCTGCCTTGACTTGGATAGCAGAAGCCTGCTGGAGGAAGAAAAGCACTTCCTGGAACAGGCTTCCTTTGACAGGCAGGCCCCTGATCAGCCCTGGGTTTTCCAGTGCAATCCCCTGGAGCCCGACATCTTTTTCGTCAACCACCGGAAAATGTCTGAGCTGCTGTACCACCTGACGAGATGTGGGAAAACTGATGACCTTCTTTATGGCATCATCATGAATTTCAGCTGGCTTTACACCATGATCAAAATTGGCCAGTTTGACAAAGTGCTTTCCGACATTGAGCTAGCTTACAACTACTCCCAAGAGAAGGAGCTGAAGTTCTTGGCCAGCACCCTCCGCAGCATCAAAACCAAGGTCATTGCATTTCCTGGCTCCCTTTCAGCAGAGCTACAGCAGAGACTGCTTCCTGTCGTAAGCTCCCTACCCAAACTTAGACACCTTCTTTTAGAATGTGACAAAGATGGGCCCAAATATTGCTCCATCGTGCCATTGCATTCATCCATGGATGTGACCTACAGCCCCGAGCGTCTTCCCTTGTCATCCAGCCACCTGCACGTCACGGAGATTCTGCCCACCTCCAACCCCAGCACCGTCCTCACCGCTCTAGAAAATGGTTCCATCAGCACATGGGATGTAGAAACTCGCCAGCTACTCAGGCAAATCACTACGGCCCAGTCTGTCATCCTGGGCATGAAGCTCACCAGTGATGAAAAATACCTTGTGGTGGCTACAACAAATAACACCTTGTTGGTTTATGACAATGTCAATTCTTGTCTCCTGTCTGAAGTGGAAATCAAAGGAACCAAACATGGAAGTGGCTCCACCTACATCAACGGATTCACACTGTCTGTCAACCACGCCCTTGCCTGGCTCGAAGCCAGCAAGGATGTTACTGTCATTGATCTGCTCTATGGATGGCCCCTTTACCAGTTCCACTGCTGGTATGAGGTGACCTGTGTCCAGTGCTCGCTGGATGGGGTGTATGCTTTCTGTGGGCAGTACCTGAACACTACCACCATATTTCACTTAGGGAGTGGAGAAAAGCTATGTACCGTGACATCTGAATTTTCGGGTGGGTTTGTGAAGTTTCTTCTTATCTTGGACACAGCTCAAGAGATGGTGATGGTGGACAGTGAGGGAAGTCTTTCTGTTTGGAATACCGAGGATATTTCCAACCCCCAGCTGACGGATGACTTTGACTGCAGAAGAGAAGACAGCGAGGTGGTCAGCATTGAACTTTCAGAGGACCAAAGTGCAATTCTGATCTGTAAAGCTCTTAGCATTGAGCTCTTACATACCGGCGTATGGAAGGTAGCTGAAAAGTTCAGAGCCAAGCATAACGAACGCTTCGTCTCTGCTGTGCTGTCCAAAAATGGAGACTGTATCATCGCGACCATGGAGAATACTCCAGCTGTATTTTTTTGGAGACGAGATACAGGACAATGCATGGCAAGCTTACAGGAAATCTCAGGTACCATAGTTAAGTTGGTGAAATCTAGTCACCACAATATGCTACTGTCTTTATCAAGCAGTGGTGTTCTTTCTATTTGGGATATAGATATAATCACAGCTATGTCCAACATAGATAAGACTGGGAAACCCATCCAAAGTCTGGTGTTGCCTGCTAGAGGGGAAATCATTTACTCCCTGGACGGCTCTGATTGTGTTCATAAGTGGAACTTCAGCAGTGGGTTCATTGAAGCAGTATTTAAGCATGAAGGCATAGTGGAACACTGTGTGTTAACATCCGCCGGAGACATAATGGTGACATCAGATGACAAAAGCAGCCAGTATGTCTGGCACACCAGCAGTGGGGAAAACCTCTTCCGAATCAATGGGCAGAGAATCTCTCAGCTGCTGATCACACACAATGACCAGTTTGTGGTCTCTCTCTGTGAGGAGAATGCCTCCAGGGTTTGGAGACTGGCCACAGGCCACAGGGTCTGCAACATTCTGACCACTTTGCAAAACGCCTTTATTACCTCCGCAAATACCTTCGTGGTGGGAATGACTAAAAGCAAAGTGTTGGCAGTCAGCCTTTGGACAGGAAGTATCACCAAGAAGTTTTGCTGTGAGGACGGAATCACCATTGTGAATTTTAAACTGATCCCCGACTGTCCGGACATCATCGTGTTCATCACGTCAGCGGAGACTGTGAACATCTGGAGTCTGACAGATGAAGTGATCTGTCACCGTGTCCAGCTTCCAAACAACTTCTTGAAAAATCTGGAGGACTTTGAAATTTCTCCCAATGGAAAGTTAGGCATTATATCTAGGGGAGATGAAAATATCAACGTGCTCGATTTACATAGTGGTAAATTACGAGTAGTCCACGCCTCTGGGGTCATCTGGCGGCAAAGGCTGTCTCGGGATGGTCGCTACCTGGTCTACATTTGCTTCCGAAATGGGGAAGAAGAGGAAGAAAATGGTGCCATATCCAGCTTAATTGTAATGAGACTGGCTGATGGCAAAAATATCGGTGCTTGTTCCCTTTACAAAACGCCAACTTTCCTTGCACTCTCTCAGAGGCACCTGAACATCATTGTGGGCTTTGATGATGGAAGCATAGGAATATACACTGTAGTGGACCGAGTAGATGCTGCACTGAAAATCAAAATTGCCACTTCCAATAGCAGGCAGATTTTCAACAATGCAACACAGACATCCAGACCAAAGTCTAACAGTTACTGTTTTAAAGTATCTGTGGATTGCTTATGGAGAGAGTCCACTGAGGTCTTTGCAAGAGACAGCCCCATCACTGTCAGCGACTCCTCCGAGTCCAACGAAGCCACACCCTCCAAGAAGCACAATTCTTGCTATGACCGGGTGTGCTCTGCCCTAGAATCCAGGGGTCACAGCTATGCCCCTGATAACTGACAAAATGTCTCTCCCACCCAGTGAAAATACACAATCAACATACAGAAGAAAAGACAAGTGTATCTTCTGTATCTCCAAGGATATACTACTCGTTACTAAGAGACAGGAAAGATGCTGGCATTTCAGCGTCTTATTAACATGCTCATGAAACAGAGATGTGAGATTGGTTTTTGGGTGCCAACTTTTTGTCAAGGCATATTTAGGAATGGAGGGATGACAGAATTTCTAGAAGTGAGATTTAAATAGTTATTTCATCTGGAAGAGAGAGGATTTTGAAAAAGCTTCTAAATTAGCTGTGTGGTAAGAAGTATCATAGGTCATTCCATTGGTTCAGATGAGAGGGACTAGAGTTATATGAAAACCATTTGGACTGAAATTAGTTCTACAAAATCCAGTTGAAATCATGAAGACAAAGAGTTGTTTGACTCCAAATGATTTCGTGATAAGTAAAACACAGCCTTAATCTCTCTTTACATTTTCCGATCCTGACAACTGTGTAAACCTAGTCTGCAAATGAAAGGTCTAAAGGTGCAAAATCATGTAACAAATATGCCCAGTTGTATTCCCAGTTTCCCGAGAGACACAACATAAAATATGAGACCATGAACTGGACTGGGACAAGAACTAACTACCACCATCATAGGGCTATTGAACATGGAGAGTCAGTCAGTCTTTAATAAAATACAGTTCCAACGATTGCATGCAAGGGTTTCTCTGTAATGGAACATATGATTTTTAAACTACTTATTTTCTGAGTTGCAATATAACACTTAATAGGAAATCACCATCTTTTCAGATCTTTTTTTGAAATGCATATTTGTGCTGAGTCTAAAGAATTACAGAAAGGGCATTACAAATTCAATCAAAACACCTATTTGTTCTTATCGTCACACTAACAAGAATATGTACTACTCAATCAGTTATATGGAAGCATAAATTATTTCCTACATCCCTGCAGTATACATCAATAGAAAGCAAGCTTTCTTAATATGTCATCTCTGAAACACTGATGACATTTGCCTTACTCTCACTCCTCTTCTTTCCTGTGTTAAACGCAGATAGATGACCAAATACTCTGGGACAAACTTAATATGCCTGTCTTTGTGCTAAAATATTCCAGAAATCTTAAGGGTGTCCAAAGGTTCTTTATTGTCCCTGTTTGTAACCACTTTCTTACTTCCACACACCATACGTATGCTTCTTTCTCTGTTACACTTCTGGACTGAGGAATCTTCTGAACCTTTTATAGTCTTACCATTTCAAAGCAGAAGCTGGGAAATGGCATTAAATATTTTTTAAACTCTACTGCACCTATTTAAAAAATATACATCTCAGAAGGTCAAAGTGATTGACTTCCTTTCATATGGTCCACATGGCATGTCCTTGGATAACTTTTCACAGGGGTCAGTAGAGGTGGTTCAGTTTGGTTTTCCTTGAACAGTGAACAAGGAACTGACCTATTTCCAGTGAACCTCTGCCATGAACTCACTGTGGACGCCTGGCAAGATCTTAAACCTCACCAGTGTGTTGCTTTTGTGAACTGCAAAATAAAGTAATGGGTTCTGCTGAAGCCCTATTAGGGATGTTGGAGTAATAATTTCAGAAAGAAAAAAAAAAGGACATCTTGATTGTTGATTCTAATGAAGAAAAAAAGTGATCTAACATAGAGAGAATCCAAATCCACTGTATTTCACTTGGGAAAGCAGTTTAACATGTAAGCCTTCAAAGATATGATTCAGATATAAACACCCCATTCCATGGTGAAAGATTTTCTCCTCTACATTACTCATAGATTAGCTTCCAGACATGGAGGTGGTAGCCCAGGGAGGGCTCAGACCCACATACCAATCACCTGGAGTAGATTGTATGAGTCAATGCTTTTAGTTCTTCAGGCAATGCATACTTATTCCTGTCACTATCAGTTGAACCTCCATACCATACATTTCTAAGAAGTAAATGCCTAGATGGATTAAATGTAGTGTGTGAATGTTCTATGTAAAAGCCAATAGAGTATAACAAGTGACTTGAATGATTTTTTTCCTAACTTGTTTGCAACTGATAGCTCATATTGAATGTTTTTATGTAAACTTTGTATTGTTGGGAAGAATTACCCAATCAGAGATTTATATTTTCATAAATGTTACATTTAGTTAAATTTTGTTACAGAGTTGTTACACTAGAAAATTATTTCAGTCTTCAAACAATATATAGTCTTGTGTATGTATTGTTTGTATGAATAAAAGATAAACCACTTAAATTTGTGTGCAGTTGGTTTTTCTGTCCCTCTTTTGCAAAAGTGATTGGAGACCTCAAGTAATAGTAATAGTTGTTCTTGCTTACTGAGTGCTTATAATGAGGGCACCTAGGTACTTTTCTCAGAGCTTTACAGATTCTAAGCTATGCAGTCTTCACAACAGACTTATGAGTAGATACTGTTAGTCTTTCATATTTACAGATGTGGAAACCTAGAAATGCTGAACAAGATCTCAGTGTACCATCACTGTGTTTTTAATTAAATTTCTTAAAGCAATCCAAATGTGCCATTTAGTGCACAGTAAGCACTACCTGACAATGACCTCTAAGGTATTTTCTAACTTGTAAATGAGAGATCAATCTGGTCTCTTAAAGATCCCTCAAAGTTGCTGTCAACTCCCAGGTTTTTCAGCAGTACAAAAATAGTTGATGAATTCATTCAGCAAATATTTGTTTGGCTATGCATTTTACCAGGAACACAGGGTAAATAAAATAACTCATGACTTCTAGGACTTCAGCCTTAACAAGAAAACAGGAAACAAGTCCTGTGTGTGTTTGTAAGAGGGCAGTATGCAGGCAGTGTGCTTCCCTCTGGGGCTCAGGAGAAGAGATGACAACCAAGGACGTGTCCCAAAAATTAAAATCCTCCAGGTGAGAAAATAGGGCCAGGAAATCCTTCCCAGAATCCTTTACTGCTCAGGTCTGAGAATCCCCACATACACCAAGGTGCAAGCAGGGTGCTTGGGCAGCATTGGAGAGTCAAAGTTATAAGTAGGCAATAATGAGATGAAACCTTGTATCTAGTTGTCAGGGAATGATTTAAAATTTAAAAGGTAATAATAAATGGAAGAAATGAGCTGTTGGGTTTATTGCCCTTATCAACATTTGGCTGAGACTAATCTGTGTTAAAGTTTATCCCCACTGAAAACTATTCCATTAGGCATGCCAGGGAATTCCTTCTTGGATTCCAAGCTATGTCCTTTAGGTTGAAAGTTACACCCTCTTCTGGTTCTCAGAAAAAAATGTGGAGAAGTTGATCACCAATGTTTTTGTTAAAGTATTTCATATACATGGAGTTTGTATTGAAAGAGCTTCTTTCCTAGAGTTAAGAATACTACAAATATGGTATATTTTCTGTGTCTAAGGTGTTATGTCCTAGGATGGTTTGAAAATTAGTTCTTCTGTCCAAAATCCTACAATCAAAAAAGACATAACTAAACTAGATATAAGTCTATGACCAAAAATTAAGTTGTTTATAAAAGGGAAAGCTGGGTGCTGAGGACCCAGGGAAGCAGTTAGAACTACCTGGGAATCAAAAAGGATGAACAGGAGGAATAGGCAACTGAGGCTTGAAAAGTGAGTAGTACTTATCCATCAATATCAGGCATTTCAGGTTAGAGAAGCTGAATGAGAAAAAAAAAAAGAGTTGAAGCATATTTTGAATGACTTTAAATGCTATGCTGGGATTTTACACTCATTAGGTAGTTGATAGGAAGTAGTTGAAATGTTTTTGAGAAGGGGAGTGGCCTAGTTGGAATGGTATTTGGGATAAATGGTAGGCAGTGTTTTGTCGGATGGATTAGAGATGGAAAGATCAGAAGCCCCGAGACCCTTAAAGACTATTGCAAGGATCTAGGCTAGAAAGTATGAGAATTTGACAGGATGGTGGCAGTGAGAATGCTAAGAGAAGCAGAGATTTAGAGTGATTTCAGTACTTAACTGGGTGATGGAGGAGAGGGAAACTCAATTCTACTTCCAATTTAAATTAGGTAGATGGTAGAGTTACAAATGTAAAGTGAATAGGAAACAAATGCAGGGAAAACAAACTTTGTCCTGGATCCTTTAAAGGATCCCAGTTGGTAATATGTCATTTATCCCATGAAGAAAACTGAGATAAAGAATCCAATCAGTGTTGTCATTTTTTCAGGAGCCCTCTTCTACAGTGCCAATAAGGCATAGGATGTCATTGCTGTTGCAATGTAAACTGATAACCATAACATTTTTTAAAAGTTATTTTTTTAGAGCTACTGGACAAATTTGGAAGTATATTGACAAATCTACTCAAAACAAACTCACTTTCCTATCTTCCATAACATTAATTTGAAACAATTTATATGCTAATGAAAATATGAACAAACTTAAAAACTAAGTAAATTATGGTATTTTTATTCCAACATGCATCAACATGTATGTTCTTCTGTATCCTCCCCTGCCCAGGGTCCCCTTCAGATCTCCATTTGGCAAGTGACTTGCATGAATCATGAATTACATTTGTGTAAACATACAGAATTTGGCTCTAGTGTATCAACTGGAGAAATTATATGCACCATTTAATTGAGATTACAAATAATAACAGCACTTCTGTCTACACGGAATGCCCACCTGTCCTAGATGAAGGCAACTAAGCCACTCATAGCAGAGGTTCTCAAACCAGTGTGTATCACCTATGAAAACACAAGTTCCTTCACCCTCCCCAGATGCCATATTTCTGAACCCATTTATTGGGGAAGGGCCCCAAAATTCGTGTTTTTACTGCATCAGATTAATGCTGATTCGGCTAGTCTAAGAAATACGTGTTAAAACCCAAGACAAATACGAAAATGTTTTTTGGTCAGAATAACCTAACTGATGAATGCACTAATATTCTGTGGACGTTACTAAGGCACCAACTAGACCTGGGACATGAGAGTCATTTATTGTGGCCCAGGGGGTTTATCAGAAAATGACATAAAACAACATATAACTTCCCTTATAAATCTTCCATTTGTAAGTGCAGCAGCCAGTAGGACACTGGGAAAGTTAAAAAAAAAAAAAAAAACGTGGCAAATGCGGGCAGAAGCAGTGAAACTTTTGGTTGGGAGGTCGCAGAGGAGGTTTTAAACAGTATTTACAAAACGGCTTTAGGGAATTGTCTTCCGTTGCAGCACCAGGTTCGCATTCTTCCTATGGGCGTGAATGCAGCTGGAACCACTAAAGCAGGCAGATTGGAAAACTAAGGGCAATAAGTGCATCTCTAAATAGGATTCTGCCCAGTTCCTTCTCCAACATCTGGTTTTATCCTCTCTCCCTGGATAGATTGACGGGAAGAGAGAAGGAAGTTAGCTAGATGGCGCAATTGCTTAATACATTTTCCTGGCAAGCCCCACAATCGCTTTGGAGGGCAGGTGGAAAGAATTTTCGGAAAAGGCAATTAGTTCTCCACCCACCACCGTAGATATAGGGACTGTAACAACTCATTAGATGGATGGCGTGTTGCAAAGAATTATCCTAGTACCCGCCCCCCGACACACACATCAACCAAAAGAAGTAGTAATAGTAGAGGGAAACGAGGGCGGAGAACCTTGGGTTCACTGAGCTCCCACTGTGACCTTTGCGGGGGCAGGCGAGTGTGTGCAGCTTCCCTGGAAATGATCCTGTTAGTGTCTTCGCTGTTTCTCAGGTCATCTAGCCCAAAAGGCAGGCGATGGATAACTGTGCGCACAGGACTAAATAGCAGACGCCAAACTGAGAAGGAAACCGAAAAACTCCAAATACACGAAGGTCAAGGGTACAAATTTATTTCCCGGGAGGTGCATTTATCTATCCCCAACCCACCACTTAAGTCCCCAATCATAGGGAGAGCTCCCTTCTCCGAACAGCACGATAAAAAGTAGGCACCAAAAAGTTTCCCAGGACGGCCACAGCTGGCACAGAAGCTGGGTGTCGGCGCTGAGACCCAGCTCCTGGATTTCCTGCTCCTTTGCCCCGGGATGACCAACCCCGGCTCTGAGGAGGTCCGGCGTCCGGCTCCAGCGGTGGCGCCGCGGTCCCCCGGGAGCTCGCGGCAAGGGGCGCGCAGGTAAAGGGTTACGCGTACCGCGGAGGTTCGCCCCGGGCCGGGCCACGTGACGCGCCGGCCCAATGACGGCGCCCGGTCCGCAGCTCGGGCGCCGCGGGCTCCGGTTGCCGCTGAGCCGCTCGCGTTTTCCCAGCGCGGCCACCCAAGGCCAGCGAAGCCATGGGCGCCACGACCCCAGAGCAGCCGCAGCCGCCCGGCACCAGGTAGGGACAGTCGCCCTCCAGCGCGTCGGGCGCCGTGCGAGCGCTAGTGCTTCACTCCTGCGGAATGGGCTTTGGGGCAGGGGCCCCCCGACTTCTCGCGAGGGTCCTACTTATTCTTGATTTCTTTTGGCCCTGGGGGTGGACGGGGAGGAGGGGCCTTGAGGATGTTTGCATTTTGAAGACTTGGGGTGGGGGGTGGAATCACGAAATTTAACAAAGGCTCGGAGAGAGCGGCAAAACGGGGGACGCGAGGACTTTTACAAATTCCCAAAACTAAAGAGCAAGATGTTTGTAAAGCTCAGCATGTAAATGGCTGTAGGAAACTTTTTAAATTAAATCCCTAGTTAATGAACTTTCAAACAATGCCTGAGAACTTAGCTCGGAAAAACTGCAAGAGATTTCCCCTTATTTCTAGGGCCCCTTCTCCCGCCCCATGATTAAGCATCTGAGTGTTTTTTAATAAAACGGAAATGGGATTTGACCGCCGCCACCGTTTCTTTGAAATGTCCTTGGGTCCCAGGATTTGCCCCGCCTTGGGGTGCTGGCGTCCGTTGTGGGTGAGCAGGGGGTTGAGGGAAGAGGATGCGACTCTACAAGGAACACCTAGTGCAATGAGGGTGACAGGTGCAAACGGTTAAACGGTCACAAACTGCTAAATATTTAATAACTAGGTAAGTGTCACCCAGGTGAATCACTTGGGTCCTTTTGACTTTGGCCGCCTGGATGAGGTGAGATTTTCACAAAATGACAGCGGAAGAATTTTCTTATAATAGGAGGTAGATCAATGTGCAACCCCAGCCTCCTACACCGTAATTATCATTAAAATCAAAACAAAAACTCCTTTTGGTGACTTAGTACCTTCTGTTTTCCGTCCGATTATAGATATTTACCCCATCTAGAAGGAGTCAATGTTCCATGAGGAGGTAAGATCATTAAATAGGGTATTTATTTCCTTCCTGACACATTTATGGGAGAGAGTAACTGATGGTGCTTCTCACTATGGCTTGTGGATGTCCTGGGTGACCAATTTATTGTGAGGAGTAATTACTGAGAAGAGAAACAATCAAAAGTAGAAGTAGAAGTGATTGTTGTTTTTAAAGCTAATGCATTCTGTATTTGCTGAGTTTTTTTCTCCCGTTTAATCTTCTAGTTAATACTATGAAAAGGATATTTTACTAACAGTTAAAGCTTCTCAATCAAAATGCCAGTGTCCATGGAACACCTTCTGTAGTAAAGTCCCTGTCCTGAGATGGATGAGTGAAACAATAATTTGAGGTTGTAAAATTAAAGAAGAGGGCTGAGGATGTAGCTCAGTAGCAGAGCACTTGGCTAGCATGCATAAGGCCTGGGTTTAATCCACAGCACTGAAAAAAATAAAATAAAATGATGTTGCAGTGATCCCAGGTTATTTCTGTTTCTCTGAAGTGTGAAAAGTCAGTTAATACCAAGCTGCACTGGTCACTGAGGGTATTGGAGCAGACACTGACACAGGAAGGGGAGGTGTGATTTTATTTCTCGTCCTTGCCCACTCTGTCCATCCTCTGATCTTGCTCCTTTATTTAATCTGTAAGCATTAAATAAATGTCTGTCTCATACCTCAACCTAGCCCTCATTATCAGTAGTTCTAAAGATTTAGCTATTTAATGATGTCTAAAGACAAATATGACCAACCTTAACTATGTTCCAAAGACCTTTTGCATATCTGGAATTTAAAACAACAAAAACTTGCTTGTCAACTAAACACATATTTAGGAAAATAGAATGATTCTCTGGAATTCCCACCCAGCACCTTTCTTGAGTCTGGAAAACACCTTGCTAAACTCTGGCCAGAATCCAGTGCCAGGCCAAGGAAGGGCAGAGCAGGTGCTATCTGCTTTGCTCCTGGAACTGCCCTGCCCTGGTGCCTGAGGAGTTCACTTCTTGCAAAGAACTCCAGATTCTAATAATTTAATACTAACCTTCTAAGAGCTTGTTTCCTCTCCCTTGACTGCTTCAGATTCTCCTAGTTACACACCTTTTCCAATAACCCTGAATCTTAGGTTCTTGGGGGTCTTGGTTAAATGGTACCTACTTCTTGATGTCTTCTTCTTCTTTTGATCGTTACACAGATTAGCTGTTTACAGTTAGACTTCCTTGGTGTCCAGAAAAGAAGTATTGGGAAGAATTGATTGATCCATCCTAGGAGGAGGGCAGGCACAGAGCCTTTACCTGTCTGCAGGTCAGAGAGGTCCTCCAGTTGTGTTCTTTCTAGAACACCTGCTCTTAACCACTGATCCATCCAACTTGTAACCTTTCTTGCTCTAGTTATCCCTGAATGCTATTTAAGAGGGTATGCTGAATGCTAACATCTTCCATTTACTCATACCCTTTTCACCTGTGAATATCCTCATCTCACAGAGATTGGAATTTCCAGGATTATAGACCATCAAAATGATCCTCTCCTAAAACATACTTAAAACACTGAGATGATGAACATGTGCTATGCAGCAGATAATTAAAATAACTCAAAATACAGACTCAGAGTGATGTGAGGCACCTAAGAAACATGCTCCTGAGTTGCAATGAGTGTTTATTAACATAAAAGAAAAGGGATAATCATGCCTCACACTTTACCACAAGCAGTGAGCTCTTTTCTATTAGGTGTGCAAGTGACTCTCCAGAATTAAATGAAACTCTGGTCTGGCTCTGGAGACAGCATGTGTGTAGACACAGAGACAACAGGCAGTTGGCAGAAGTGTGGACACAGCCCCTATCTTCAGGAATCTTATACCATTGAAGGGTTTGAAGCAGAGCAGATCTCTAGTCTAGAAAGTTCACTCAGCTGCAGTGATAAGAATGAGAGGAGGGAGATACAAATAATGCCAAAGGCAGATGCTGCAAAAATCCACATGATGGGGGGGAGAGAGAAGTGAGTCAATTATAAAAAAAAAAAAAAATTATTTAGGGAACAAATGCTCTTTACAATTTTAACTGCAAGAAACTATTAACCAATCCATTTTTAAAAAATATTAATTCACATGACATTTCAGAAGGACAGGACATTTTATTCAAGGTGGATAAACATAAGCCACATTTCAGTGCAATGTTCTTCTGCTGATTATAGTTACTCTGCCTCTCCCCATAGCTTTTTTCCATCACAGCAAAAAAAAAAAAAAAGTTTTTGATAAACAAAGAATTTGATAAACAAGAATTTGAATTTTCTAAAATTTTTATGGTAATTCCTTCCCCAAGTTTGATAATTGAGTACCTATCTTGGTCATTCGTTTGCAAGACATGCAAAGATCTGATTCTTTATAGCTGTACAATAGTGTCCCTTCTTTTTGATGGTCAGTTGCCAACAACTGCAGTTCTCTAAAACATTTACTGCAGCCTAAAAATGAATAGAAGAAGTTGACCTGCACCTGCAAATTATTGTTAAGAGCCACACATACTGGGTTCCCAGGAGAACTTATATGATATGATTTCATGTCCCTTTCTTAATAAGCCTGGCTGCATGGGTTCCTGGTCCACCATTAGGAAGTCCATGTTATAGGTTCAATCTGTGACTAGCACAAGGAGTATGTAGTCACAACCACCATTGCTCAACAACAAAGACAAGACAGCGAAGGTGTCTGTGATTAAAACCTTTTCTACAGAAAAATGTTAAATGTGGTTCAGATTTGTTAAATATGTGTTCTGGAAAAAAATGAACCCTTATTCCTTTCTCTAGCTGAAAAGAACCTTAATAGTCACTTCGTATGACACTGTAGTTTATAGATGAGGAAACTGGCTCAAAGAGGTCCAGTGATTTCTCTAAGTTCATACAGATGCCCACTGGAAAAGTTACAAGGTCCAGACTGTAACAGTCCCAATTCATAGTTCAGTCATCTTCCTACTACTCATTAAAGCCTAAATTTTAGTTGTATGGAGAAATCCATTTTCAGTTAAGTACCCTTTCCCCAAATATAATAGCCACTGTTCATTGTGAAATTGCATATATATGTATATGTGTGTGTATGCACACGTGTGCGCGCGCACACACACACACACACAGGATCAGTTATCTGTTGCTATGCAAAATAAACCATCCCAAACATAATGGCTTAAAACAACTACCATTTATTTAGCTTGTGAGTCTGTGGATCATCAGTTTGGTCTGGACTCAGCTGGGCAAGTCTAATGATCTTGTCCTCTGAGTACTGGCCCACCATCAGCTGAGTCACCTAGGGAGCTGCTGAGCCTATGTCTCATCATTCACAGGCTAGCCAGGGCCTGTTCACAGGTTGGTTCTGCATGGTTGCAAGATGGAGAGCGGGAACAAGGTCCCTTGAGGTCTCAACTATAAAAGCAAGTCAGGAGGCCAACTTAGGTTTAAGGGATGGAGAAATAGACCCAACCTTTTGATGGGCGGGGCTCCATAGTCACATTAGAGAATGTCATGGAGTCAGAGAGAAGTGGAGAATCATGCCATTTTCAAAATCTGTCATATCAGCCCAGCACTCTACATAACTCACCTAACTTAGTTCTCACAATACTAGAAGTTACAGGTGAGGAAACAGACCCAGGCATGTTAGTCTGGGTTAGGCAGGGGATGCCACCATGAGTGATGGAACCAGCCTTGGATCTCAGACTCCAAAGACCATATCAGAACCTCAGTGCAGCCTGCCTCTCTGCATTATGCCACAGTGAAAGGTGGCATCATTGCCAAGTATCACTCAGCTCAGAGCTGGGCATGAAAAATAAAAACTTTGAGAATACTTTTTAAACTTATGTGTGAAAAAAAATCAGACATGACTGCCCCTTCAAAGAATATATGATTCACTTTATGTCCATGTGCAGAAATTATTGAAGCAGTAAGATTCAGGGTAAGGAGAAAGGGGCTGGATGGATTATGGGAGAAGCTTAGCATGATGAGTTTATGACAGCCAAGAGAAAGATTTGAAGAGAATAGTATTTATTAATATCTCAAAAGCTCCTCACATCATTTATGTAAAGTAATAATATTCCCACTCTACAAGGGA